TTCCCATCATTGGTAATAGATAGACAAGTGGATAAGACGCGACAAAAGGCACAGAGGTTGTAGCACAGACAATCTAAAAGGAACACTGACTGAATTCGTGGGAAACCAATTCAACTTCGTTATAGTCCTTAGGACCTAGACATTAATGGCGGTTAGACAGCCTTGTATATGTAGTTTTGGACGTATGTGAAGATGGATCTTATGGATACCGAGTGGAATACCTGAATGATTAATTGGTGCTCGCACAGGTTTAGGTCACCTATGTGGATTGATGTTCATGAAGTCCGATTCAGCGTTGTCTGGTTCGCAAGGAATTCTGCGAAACAAGAAGCGACATCCGTCAATAAATTGTGAACCGAGTGAAAAGTATGCATGCAAAAAAGTATTGTTCATGGTATTTCGAATCACTTGATTAACACTCTAAAGCATGTAGTTTCCTAATAAACAGCTGAGTTGTATAAATAGCTAAAGATGCCATCCAGCTGGACGCACAAGCACAAAATACTTTCTCGTTTAAAAGACACATCTGGAGATGTGATATTTGGAACTGGTGTTGGTTCACTAACGGCTGCGAGGTATGATAACCCACACTCATTTGCTCACACTGGCACTTTTGATCGCCACCACCTTCTCTCTTCCGCAACCGCCATTTACCTTGATACAAGCGCCATCTCATCTGATACAGTCATGCAACTATGTATGTATGTGTATGCCACTGACCTATTTCCTCCTCCTCCCCATCATCATCATCACCATCGACAGCATGACATCAGTGTTTAACACCGATGCTACGTATGGTGTTCTAGCACCTGACCGAGTGCGAAGATTTGGTCAACGCAACCGTTACCAGGTCGGAATTCCGTTTGCTGCTCTCAGGTCAATGTCTCACGAGCCACTCTAAGGCGACGAAGCACCAGTGACGCCAACAGTCTCGTTACGACCGGGGTCGAAAATGAACAAACACTATTACCGATTCCCCTAGTTGTCTGGGACAGACACCTTTTCCCAAATGCAAGCAAACAGATCAGACAAACTGTGACTGAGTACTTCACATCCATCTTTGAACAATGCGGTTGGGAAGTCATCCGAACCGGAAGCTCTGCGGCCCTTGGGTGAACATATACAGTCGTAAGCCAACGAGGCCGTAGGTGGTTCCACGTTCACTGTCCGGAGTCCTACGTCAGCTGTAGGCTCCCGATGCCATGTAGCGGCCATAAGAATTGTTGTTTGAAGTGCTCAGCCCACAGGTCGAGGCGTTCAAGATGTTCACTCCATTCCGATCCTTGTTGGATTCGTTCACAGGTGGTTTCTGGGGGCCGGTCGCTCGGATCAACTGAAATAATCTTCGGGTATTACTGGATTTTGGGTCTTTTCTACTTCTTTGGCTTTCTCTGTCCACCGCACATCACGGTGGGGTTGCATGCTTACCTTCACTTGACGCCTGATAATTCGTCGCGTCAAGTTATACTCGCTGCCGGCTGCAATATTTCTCCGTTCGGTCTGATATTCAGTGCTTGAGTGAGTCTGGTGGTGAAGCGTCAGAGGCGAAATTCCCAGCACTATGCAAAAAGGTGGCAATCTCGTCCCAGTATGAGTTCGAATGTGATAGTGGAGCCTATGTAAGATTCCTGTGAGTTCGTCTAACGTGCGGATCTGCCAATCTCTCGGTTGCCAAGGCATTTATCCGAACCTTAAGCGGCCCTGGAAAACGGAGGGAGAAGCGACTCAGGACAACTGCCTGGTCGGAATCGAAAACGGTTCCAAAACGACAGACAACCAGTTATTGATCCAAGCCATCAGTAAATGCTCACCTGTATGACAGAAATGTGTGTTTGACACCTTCGAGATCCCGTCTGTCATATTTTGTGGAAAGTTTATCTATCACTAAAATATGCTACCACAGTGTATGCGGCAAGCGCAAAGGTTTTACCTGTAAGTCGAATAGTTGCAGTTGATCGCGCTATTCCATTGCGCGTTGGGGATAAGTAAGTTTCTACAGTGCAGGTTGTCCTCAGCAAATTCACTTCACTTGAACTACTATTATTCCGGTTTTCATTAAGTTGACGGTGGATTTGACCTCAATGATCACTGAGGCGGTAGAATACAGACTACTTCCATCCACCCACAACTGATTCGAATATGCATTAGCCTAGAAGGATTATCCGAGAGACTCGTTCGTAATCTTTATATCCGTTGCACTAAATATAGTATGCAAACTTTTCCGTCCATTTGCGTTCCAATTACCGAAAATTACAAACAGGACTGTGTTTAATGTGTTTGAGAGGGCACAGAATGTGGTAACACGAACGGATAAAGCAGTTGCCGCCAATCACACGGGGCCGTAGGTGACTTGTCTGAAAATTCCAAGGTAATCCGCAGCTGGATTACAGGCGTGACGAAAACAGTTGGTATAATGACCCCACCTAAGTGTGAACTTGACGGCTGAGAATAAGTCTTCTTCAGAGAGGAGATATGGTTGGCTATACTGAAGAGCTGAAGATACCCGAAACAGACATAGTCTTTTATGTTCAGACAATTTCAATGACAGCGGTAGGGCGTCGCGGGGGCAGATGGAAGTGCATTAAGGGACTGACTTGATTGGTTGAGTGGGACCCATTCAACCGCGAACTGGTGATGTCAACTCGATTGGTGACGAAAAGTTTGTCCAGCACAGCCGAACCAATGGCTACCTGATGAGTGACCAACGAACACACCCGAGTTACCAATATTTCGTTACATCTCCAATGCAAGACATATACTGGCGCTTGACTGCCACGCAACAATGAAGGAAGCGGCCCTGGTGAATAGTGGAACGAAATGTGGAAAAGCTCTCAGGAAAAACGTTTCTGACAACCAATGCCAGTTGGAAAATGTTGCCCTCTCCCAGTACGGTCGCCGCTTACGCAGCTGTCAAGATATGTGAACCGACCATCAAACTAAGGAATTTCTATCTGAAGTTTTAAGGAGACATAATCAGATTGAAGCAGGCTTCTGCTCCTTGAAGGTTAGAAACGGATGTACAAATAAGGGACCGCTCCTATTTGATTGGATTGATGAATCGTTGTCCAAATCCACTAATCCCATGCCACTCCGATTCCTAGAAGTCGGTTTCTCGTAGTAAGGCGTTGCATGATCAAACCACAGACAAAACAAGAGAATAGAGGATAAAATACCAGCCCTTCCTCGTCGTTTTGAACTCGTACACGACGAGAAATGTTGAAATTAAGATAATAAAGTAGGTCTTAATACTTCAGAGGAATTTCACTCTGTTCAGGGATACTTAAAAGGGTTGTCCTGTCTGTTAGAGTCAAGGGGAACAGGGGGTCGTTAGTGGGTAGCTGGGATCAATGCACAAATCCCGCTTGAGGTCGTCGAATTCGCGTCTCACGTACCAGAGTAAGACACCTGGGAAGTCGATAACGCATCGGCAGACGAACAAAGCTAGTAGCTCTTAACATGTAAGTCACTTCAAGCACCTGAATAAAAGCATGGTGACTGAATGACCCATTCTCCGGAACACAGTCTTACTTCCAAATAGCCAGAGTGAAATAAGCAGATTCATAGTGGCCTTTGAATAACGGCGATGGAAGTCCGCATGGTTCGGCAACCCCGTTGCGTACCGAAGCGAAGAGGCGTAGTAATAGATAAGATGACGATGCATCGGAACTGAAACAACAGAGCTCAAACGAAGCAAATACAGTGAGAATGACACTAACTTCGTTAGTGTCCTACAGTTTCGAGAAACAGTTTTCCTACGCTCTTGCTGAAATGTCCTAGCATTGATACATCGAGTCACATAATACACACAAACACAGCGACGTGTTGAATTAATTTTGATCTAACTAACATGCGCCCGTTTCACCCGAATCGATTGATGAAGACGACTATGGCAGTAAACAAGGATCTATCATAAGAATCAGTGGGTATAACTTTCACAAGATAGGAGGCTACTCTACGTTCGGAGCCGATGGACGCCGGCCAAGCTGCTGAGCAGGGAGTGAATGTTGCGATTGATCATCATTCGGATTGGCTGTAAGACCGACAACGAGTACTGATGACAGCTCATTAACCACATAACTGAAACATCTAAGGGCCAAATAATGTCGATTCGTCCACTTAGTGTTGGGCGAGAGCGATGCCCCGTAAGTCCACAACGAGAACATTTTCTAGCTTCCCTTACAGTTATTGAGTACATCTTAACCATCGTGCAGTTAGGCTTCCAGGGACCTGAGATTAAGGTACCAGGCATCGGACATCACAGGTGATACCCAAGATCCCGAAGCGCGTAGTAACTCCACGTTCAACGTACATACACTACGGTGCGGTGTTGGTCAACAACCAAAGAAATATGAGTTAAACTGGAGTACTTTTTGAAGATATACATACAGCAAAGTACCGAAGTAAGCGCCATTTGGTTTGGGCTGTGGAATAAAACAATTGTCGGTGACCGACTTGACAACAACGCTTTCCAACTGATCATGACAAAGATGGAGAGTAACGGGGGGAAGCGAAAAATGCAACGATAAAATTTTCAGGCCAAAACAATGTTAATAGATGTAACGGAAGATCGCGTGATGTATGCGGAACTACGAGGAAAACCAGGCGAATTTGGATGAACGAAGCCATAGTGCTCAAAATGTGACGGAGTTTGATGATGAGACTGGGAAATGATGACTATCATAGCTCACAGCTGCAAACCTAGAAACTGTCTAGGTATATGAGAATGAAGACCGGGATGCAGACAAGTGTGGCCGGAACAAGTCCTAGTCAATTGTGCAAATGCAATTCCGAATACAAGAAATCTGTAGAAAAGTGAACTGGCAAATGTCTTCACGGGAAGAATGAATCAACAAAACGGAAGAAACAAAAGAGGACCGGCTGTCAGCGAACTGGGGTTTACGTTTATCGTTATTACGAGGCCAACCCAAATAAATAACAAATTCGGAGTATGTGTAAAAAGGATCCGATGTTCAACGCAAACCGGCCGGTCAGTGTAGAAAACAAAGGGAACCGCGGCTTACGTAGTTGAAAAGAAACTTTACAGATGAACAAAATAGAAACTCGTTTTCTATCGCTCTCAACTTTGAGTGGCTATCCAAAACATGATAGCTTCGCGAATGAATGAACGGTCGAAATGAAATTATGTACAAGAATGAGATAACCGTAGATGTTGGCGCAGAAGTGTGAAACGAATGACTGCCCTTATTACTGTACATCAGAAGAGAGGGTATATGTACAAAGACCATGAGCCCAAGTATCCGAAGCATGTTGGTGAACCGGGAAAGAACACCAGGGATTCGCGCATCACGCGGTGGGGGACTCAGTAGTGGTAGGTCGGTGAAGTGGAACGCATCATAGACAGAACCGGAGAAACTGTACAAAATGCTGAGTATGCTGGTGTTAAGTACCCGCCACAAACAGGGTCACCAACGACCAGCTGGTTTCCTGAAATGACCGGTCGACGGGAGTTCACACTGAAAAAAGAGACGAGACTCCTTGTCATGGCAAACGCCTAGCAGGTACGGCGAGCTACAAAAGATATCATAATGAGGTAAAGTAATTGTTTTCATAGTGCAAGAATAAAATTACCACTATTGTGAAGGGGATCGCCGTAAAATGGCTCCGTTTGATTCGAATATGATGTTCCTCTTCCAAATAAGCAAGTAACAAAACTATCAAAATCTGTCAACTAGTTAGCCAAAATAAGACGGTCATCCTCGAAAGTGATCGCCATCACCACTATACAAATCAGCAGTGTGCCATACAACGACCACTACACTGGTGTCATCCAGCTGACGCAATGAATGCTTGTTGGCCACCGTACCAGTTCGTCTTGCAGTCCTGGCCTCGGTGCTACATCGTAATCCTAATTGCCTCCTTGAGTGGAGTTGAACGACTGGGTAAATTGCACACATACCGATCTAACCAAACGGGACTGCGTCGCAAACACGAAACTAAAAATTTTTGGTCGATCATCAATTAAATAAAAAGAAAATTTGAAAACCGTATATCCTTATCCCCATCCTCTCACACATACTGGCCTGATAGAAAGGTTGCTTCCAGTTCAGAAGCAGTGGTTTAGATCGTGATAAGGTCAGAAACTCACTTCGTTGTGCTAAGTGTAAAAGGACCGATGGGATATTCTTTCATCTGGATAAGACAAATACCGTCCCGTTCTACTGTGGCCTGAGAGAGATACGTCGCTGGCAACATCGACATCCGATTCCATCAGATGTGCGAAACTGCTCCGGCTATCATTATGCGCCATGCCATGTGGGGTTAGCGCAAGTTTGGTTCGATCTAGTTGGGAACGAAGACGGTCTTGTAGGCGGCAAAGTGTCTCCTCCACATCTGTCAATCGACCGGAGGCTGGCACAGACCGGTGGAGAGAGTCATTGGGGTTTGATCCATATTTAGACGGGTATAAGGAGTGCCGAGGGGCGATAGCTCTGCGCTCCATCTCAAGGTGTGTATGCTCGATACGACGCCTTGTAGTGAATTGGTTTCGATCCCAATCCAAAGAGTGGGACTCTTGCCAATGTCGAATTGCTTGATCACGTTTGATGAAGTATTCCAATGAGCCGAGATTGACCGAAGCTTCCTGTGTATCGGGGCCAGAGTATCTCCGATGCGGCAGGCTTCGTTTGGTTCGGTGGCTTTCCACATCATTCTTTGAGTGAGAAGGAAAAGAATTGCAAGGAGGCGGTGGTGGTGGTGGCGCCACACAGTGGGCTGACACTACTGGAACGGGTCGATCCGGGTGGACGGAGGGTGACCACGGCCTAGCCCGTAACTCCGTACGCAAAAGGCCATCGTCGCCGGGCGGATACCGCTGAAATTATGTTTAAAAAAGGATGAACCATGAACGAACGTGACGAAATGTCTGTTACGCGTCAAACCTGCTAGAAAATAAAGCTTCATATCACAAAATAACGGAAATGGAACAAAAGGATATCATTGGAGACGGAAATCATTCCCCTATCCCTACATAAAGCATTTGTAAGAATATTTGTCTCTTATCAAAGGTGTCCTTCGATAAGCTTAGATCTAGTCTCACTGTGAACACATAGTAGAAGTATGGGCTCACGGCCTACGAAATGCGAGCTAGCCTAGGTCAATTTGAGCTGTGCACGTGTGGAAAACAGGGCGAAACAGTGAGTAGACAAACACCAGTGGGAAACGCATGATGAACAAGTGAAGATGGACTTTGATTCCACTCTAGCAGCGATAATACACATGAGGCAGTTCATAGTTATGATCATGTAGAAAAGCGCAGCAATGCGTTCTCCTAAAAGCATGATCTGAATAAACACAAACACAAACAGCACAGTATACACGAGGAAACCCTGCCGAAGTAATGTTTTGTGCATCATTATTAAATGAAGTGCAAACAATGATCAACACCAAGATCGGTCTTAAAACCGTCTTCCGAACTCGCGGTAAACGGAATGATCTGCTTCTGTCAATGTCTGAGTACTGAATTTCCATCCCAATTCCTTGATACTTTGGGCGAAATGCTTCCTCATGATAGTGAATTTTGGTGAGGCGTATATGGTGAAGTACGGCAGTGAAGCATCGGTGTTGAACACTGATGTCATGCTGTCGATGATGATGATGATATGGTGAAGTACCCCTTGGAACAAATGTTCAAGACAGGTAAATATGTACACATAAACGTAACGCTGTGAACTCAAAAGTAACAGCTTCTACCCTCATCAGCCATTAGCATCAGCCTAATCGATCGGAACATAAAGATTAACACTACAGTTCTCCAGAGTATATCTATAATTGGTTTTAAAAAGACCTAAAAGAGGATAACAAAAAACTTGCACACCGGATACCTGCGCAAGTTACATCTTCGCGACGAGAATGTTCACGTGGGGAATCTGGCCCATGAGATAGAAACACTCATTGAAACTACACTTTACAGGTGGGCTGAAGATTAGATGGGCTTCTCAGCCAGTGCCTGTCTAGCCTATCTGTGTCTATCTAGGAGAAAGCAGTCACCCTAGACAACTGGGTGAATTGATAGTAGTGCCCATTTCCAAAAAAGGTACTCGCAGTGAATGTAGTAAGCGCAGAAGTGTCAGTTTAACTCCTGTTGTGACAAGGCATTTGGCCTCACTGATTCTTCGTGTTAGTAACAAGGTGATTAGAAAACGGGAATTTGATTGTGCGAAAGGTTCTTCGATCGGAAAAAACATCCAGCATCACCGACTACGATGGCTCGGTCATGTGCTAGGCATGCTGAAACACCGTCTACCGACACGGGCATTGTTCTCCGTGCTTCCTTCAGAATGAGGCGAACCGCGATAGAAGCGCCTGAAAGAGATCACGAAGAGGTTGGGTGTTGTTGGTCTTGTAGACCTTCCGGGATGGGAACCTACCTGTGCTTGACTCGAGATATTGCAAGAAATAGAAGCTGATCGATGCCGGTGGCGTTCTTGCTGTCAGTTTCTTTCCAGATTGATTGAGCGGTGTAGGCACCTAAAAACGCTTGAAATAGGCCAACACCAGGCCTCCTCCCTCACCCACTCTTTTCCCTTATCTTCACCCTAGGGCCTTAAACATAATTAGACGAACCTTATGGTTGTACGGCAGTGAGGCATCAGTGTCAACACTGGGTTTGCTGTGACTGATGATGATGATGAAACTCAAGATGGTGACTCTTGGTTTGTTCGCCAAGCAACCATAATTTGGTAAGACTGAAGTGGCACAACAATCTGAATCAGCTGTAACAACGCTGTGACCCATAGTCTGATATTCGCGGCCCATTTAACCAGACAGAAGTCAGGCAGTAGTTAACAGGCAACACTGCTTACTTGGCTAACCGGGATACACCTAACCCAACAACGCATGTACCTACATTTCTCGCTCAGTTGCAGCATCAAAAATCGACGAACTTGCCACCAAACAGTGAAAAGTAATCCCAAATGATTTTTGATCCATAATTCTGACTTGGACGGAAAAGAGCGACTATTACTGTTAGGACTTAACAGAATTTCAGAACCATGCAGCTAGAACAAGTTCACGACGCAAATGTTTGGATTTGAATATGCAAAAGTTTGATTAGCGTGGATGCCAGTTACTTCACGCCACTACATGAGAAATACCTATTTCCCTCGAAATCCAACCAAAAGAAAATTCCCCATATATCACTCACCTCACTCCACCTGCGCCGCGTAAGTTCGCCTGAAGAGCGGCCATGGAGTTGGAACTCGTTGTTGTATTCCGGGGGATCAGCACCGTCAAAATCAGGATTTGTATGTTCATCCGAAATCTTTTTCCAACTGCGTAGTCGAATATCATCTGAGAAATCCTGTTCCGGAAAGAGCCGTGCATGACTGTGCGGTGTTGATCGTTTCACCGAGTCTTCCGCCTCCTCCGCGATGGCAGTTAGATCAACCTTTCGTAGTTTTCTTACGTAAACAGTGTTCGAGGAGTCTAGGTCATCGTCGTCAGGTGGCTCACTGGGCGTACGTGGACCACGCTCATTTATTCCGTCATCAACTGGCAGTTCATCAAAAGCTGTGTCTGATTGGACAATTAAGGGTAATCCTTTAGTGTCAAGCTTTGGAGCTGATTTGATGGAAGAGTGGAGAAGTTCGTTAGACTTTGTGGAAAGCTTTTCGGGTAGATGTAATTGCTGGTATATCTTAGGTATTTCATCCAACAGACGATTGGGACTTAGTAACTGGTGGGGTAAATGCAAATCATGTCTTGCTGTGCGTAGTTCGGTAGCTTGCTCTCCTTCCTTCGCTTGGTTGTTGATGCTGTTAGAAGCATTGTTTGAAAAAAGTCCCCTACGACGACGGTACTCGGACAAGGAGACGCGAGTCTTTCGCATTTCATCCGCCTGTTGTTTAACGGTGGCTTTCTTCGGTGGTAACTATTCAGGACAGCGAAGAAGGGAGCGAATAAAACGATCAGAAATTGATAAATAGCACCTATTGACGGACAAGCCGCCCGTAAAAAGGAACATCCCAGAAGATAGAATATTCTGATTAGAGCAATAGCAAAGCAGAGAAAACTGAGTTCACATCAATTTAGAGCTATAGAGCTGTGTTAGCATGAGGCTTAGCGTGAGGCTTATGCTTAAACATAGGCACCTTGGTGATATTCTCATGTCAAGCTATCTACAGCACGTGCGACCATTGCAGGTGAACGGATTATTCCGGTAAGTTTTCAATTTATGGTGGCTATCCGAGATACAACCACGCACGAGATCCGGCAAGCTTGGGTGTTACCTAAAATAGTCGTTTTTCTGAGTGCAAAAGTAACACAAGGCATCCAGCTGGTCTCTCAGATTTTAACTGCGCTGAAGATAGACAACGCATCCATACAGGATTCACTTCATCGCAATATCTTATCGAAAAAGATAGCAGAGTGTGAATGATAACCCCAAACTAAATGGCAGAGAACAGAAACCTACCGGTGTGGGATGGGCATTTGCTGGATCGAGAACAGAACTAGTGCTTTCTGACAAAGTTACAGATGGCACCTTTCCAGGATCACTACGATTAGAGCACGGTGAATCGTCCTTCGACTGGCAGTCAGTGCACCCACTCTGGGGGAAAACAGCGTTGTCAGGACCGTTACTGTGCGACTCTGAAAACTGGGAAATGATTCTCTTCTTCGGATTGACCGGACAAGCGCTTGGAGAGATCACCGGAAATTGGAATTGTGTGAATGTCACATCTGACTGATCCATAACACGGGCTAGAGGTGCGAAATCCCCGGATCGCAGGCCACCATTGTCCTCCTCCATTAGTGCCTGATGTGGGGCAAAATACGAAGCATGACAAAACGAAGGAACTTCTGGACATTGTATTTATGCAGCACGCATAGACCCCTAGAAAGGTCGTATTAATTATTGTAAACAAAGTTCGACGATGCAGTAGAAAAGAAGCTTTTCGTCAAACTGAGAACGAAGTTCGTTCTCACGAAAGTGAACACTCCTTACAACCAAATGCCCGTCAGCATAAAGTAATTGGTGATGCTCAAAAAAGGCTGGTATCAAGCCACTTAGAAGTGGATTGGGAGTCCCCTGAAGCAGTCGCGCAGAACAGCGAACCAGGATTCAGTCAACTTCAAAGACATAGGTCTGATGTAGCTCATTTGATTTCCTAGGTAGATGGTCCCGAATCTCAAAGAACGAACGCTCAGTCCCCGTCCACTTCCTCGTGGATCAATTTCATGACGCCTCCTGAATATTTTATTTAGATACACATCCACATGAGAAATGACCGCTTCCACCGATCGTCAACCTACACTAGTTAAACAGGACAGGACCAAAGTAACGGGCATGTCCTGAACTGGGCAAACACACGGTCTCCACTGGGAGACAAACTTGCATTCACACAAGAAGTCGATTGAACACCGTGTTCACAAGCAATCGCAAGTGACAGACCCGGGTATGGATTTAAATACATCTACATCAGAAGCAAGAGATAAACATCGTATTTTAAAGCGAAACAAACCCGGAACTATTCCTTTTTTCATTATTCCAGACAGGGCTCAAGACGGCAGATTCTGGCGTGCTGATGGACGAAACCATTAACACATTGGGGGCATCGTGAACCCTGAATTAGGACTCAGTTAAATCGATTTATCAGGAATGACACTTCCGATTGATATGAAATGGTAGCAGCACTACACTGAGCGAATGACGAATTAAGAAAGGAAAACATTTTCACTAGTTATAACACAGATGCGCCTCTCAGACCGAATCTTAACCCAATTCCACTGATCTCAACCTACGCTACCTGTGAAAGATTGCAGGCCTTAAGCAGTCCACATAAACTGACTTTACTATGTACTTTGAAAAATGTCCAAATCCGGATTGTGAGCGGGCTATGTTGACAAATGAGTCACGATCTGCTGGCTATGCGTATCACCATAGTATCATATCCAAAGACCTTTAATCCCACCGAATTTCCCGGAACCAAAGAGAAAAGGAAATCAGTTTGGACGCTGAATCCTCCTTTTGGCGACTTCCTCCTGGAACCGCTGAGTCCCCTGGTACTCAAAACTTACATCAACGCACTTTCAACGGCTAGGACCCCACCGTTCCTCAGGTGAGTCAAATCAACAGTAGAGAAATCCTACAGGATAAGTTATCTTTCGCCAAACAAGATCATAGCGCTCTACTGGAAACTCCAGATGTGAATCATGACTCGTGGATATAACCACTGAATGTTCAAGGAATGTATCCGAGCCTTGTGTGATTCAGATTCGGGGTAACCTGAGGTGATTTCTAAGTTCACCTCGAGGTAACTGTGCAAAAGTGGTGAAATTCATTTCACTGAATCCGTTGCCCCTTCTGGACAGCATCTGTTATCAGAATATGTTGATGCATAAGAAGCAAGTTACCTTCCTCCGAATAATGTTGTCACTTAACATGAATGCGTTTGACGAAAGCAAGGAACCTCATTTATTCGGAGCGACCAATCTTTGAAGGATTAGGTACTAACGGTAAACTATTGTCAACAAGTAAAGGCACTTACGCAGACAATTATTATGTTATCTAACCGATTCTACGCACAAAATGTTGACAAGAAACGATGAGAATTGATGCAAAACAGCTAGCTTACTTGACTCAACCATCTTTTCTTTGTAGGCCTCGGCGTGCAGTATGCTGTGGAGCCCACCATACCCGACGAAGCAACTACCCTGGAAGGATCTGCCGACTCGAGAATAGGTGAGGTATTTTCCTGCAGTATTCTATTATTTGGTAATGTTGAAGTTAAATCCCCCGATCGACTGCGGCTAAATTTAGCCATTGGATCTTTCTCACGAGTGCGGTAGACGATGAGCTCACAATCGGCCTCAGTGCTTACTGGGACTGAAGAACGCTTACGACCCGCGCGAAAATTCCCTGTCTTTAACGTACGACTGTATGAAGTGTCGCTGCTCCTCCGGTCAATTGAATGTTTCGCGTGGATTACTTCATTATGTGATATTTCTGATGACGTTGGGCACGTATATCGTCGGTGAGCCTGTAGGTCATCTATGGAAAGGCTTTCAGACGAAGGGTCACCTGCGCTGCCTGTGGTTTGATCACACTTGTCATCGTTTAGGCTTCCTAAAAGGCTATCATTAGTATAAACTTCTTTCAAAGTAGTGACAGCGGAATCAGATTGGGAAGAAACTTCTGTCGCTAATGGGACAGCTTCGTCCGAAAGCCGTTTCGGAGAGGAAGGTTTAAGTGATGTGGACATTTCCAGTTCCGCGATGCGCCGCAGCTGTGACTTTAGCCACCTCTCCTCTCGAGTCTCACGGACATCAGCCGCTGCAACAGCAAGAGGATTTCCAGAATGAACCACCGATTGAGATAGACGCCGACGACCTTTTGAGGGCAGAACAGTAGGGTGTGATTCATCTGGTCCGGTCGCGGATGGATCACCAAGCACAATATCTGGCATAGGTTTGAGAAGAGAGGACCGCAGCGCATGAGATGTGTTATCGGAGGACACTACGGGGATCAAATGTTTATCTTGGTCCTCACACAGCGAACTGACCGCTGAAGAGACTAGAACAGATGACTGACAGGAGAGCGACGTTTGTTCGGATTTCAGCTGATTGTCTTCCAGGTCACCGGCAAGGGGTGCTGTTTCGGAATCCAATTCATGCGTTTCAGGTTCGATACGACACGGTTCTAAACTACTGGTGGGACAATCGCCAATCGATGGCAATTTGGTTTCAACAGTTTCAGGAACTACTGAAGAAACCTCAACACTTCTTGACTCCCCTTTATCAGACGGTGTACCGTCTGATTCAGCAGGTGCAGTACGCTGTTTATGCTGTTGTTTCTTTTCCATTCGCTCAATACGACGCAGAACCTCAGCCATCCATATTTCTTCACGTGATTTCTGCAGAACAAAATGTAAAGTGAAGTTAGGTCGACCACAACCAAAACCTAGGGGTCTATAATATCATTTAAAAATGCGCTTGAAAACTTGTGCAGAGTTTTTTGCACAGCGACTGCAGGATATTCTCACAGTTAGTTCACCAACTGCCTCGTGACTAATACACGATCGTTGTGATACCGAATCGCAGCTGTAGGGAACTTTCTTGACCTGAAGTACAGATACTCAAGACCAGCAAAGAGAGAAGCTTGAAGAAGAAACGTTCAGGTGTAGCACCCTTCCGGTGCCTAGCTGCCATGCCATCCGAAGGGAGCACGAGGGCTGGGGTACTGCCAGGTTGCCCAAGCCCAGACAGGGGAAGTCGAGTGGCGGAGATCAGATTCGAACCACGAACCTTCCGGTCAGTAAATTCGCGCTCTAACCACTAGGCTCATCTCGCCCAAGCTTGAAGATGACGTCAGCAAACCAGTATAATTGACTGGCATCCATAAATTTACGCTACAGCTTTTTTACCAAGTCAATAGCGACTCAAAGATGTACAAGAGGGAGTAGAATGCCTTCAATGGCTAGGTGCTTCAGAAAATGTGAGGAGACTAGACTAGACCGAAACTTAGCTCCAAATTTAGTGTAAAAGCGACTATTCCAGGCTACCGCTCGCACAGAGAATGATGACAAAGCCTGCAGTTACTTTTCATTTATGTTATGATGACAGAAATGAAATGTGTTAGAGGGTCTCGCATTACTGTCTCAGGCGATTGCAACGGTATCCATTGACTATTGACAACTCTGTGGTTGCAAAGTCCGAAATGCGAGGCTACGTTCAACCGAAGATACCAAAACAGGTTGAGGACGTATTCCGTTACGCCTTTAGAACAGTAAAATCAAGCCGGATTCACCTTCCTGTCCTCTTCTCGAAGTTGACCTTCTTTTTGATGAACAGGACTAGGAGTTTTGCGTGAATCGTTGCGGCGTCTACGACGTTCCCCAACTGATTTGGTCTGGAAGAGATAGACAAAAAGGGCCAGTCAGAGCCGTTATGGAAGGAAAACAACTTTTGTTGGAATATAACTCACCGACCGCTCTTCGGGTTTACCAGACTTCAGCTCACCGCCGCTGTCCGAAGACGAATTTTTTCCGTGCCCCGTGAAGTTCACTCCAGTGGTGTTTTCTTCCTTAAGACGTGATGCAACGGAATTGCGATCATACGCGTTTATGGAAGAAACCACATGGGAAGGTGACTGCTTCAAAGAGGCCGTTGGGTGGTCGTCATCGCTTGCATGCTCAAGCGGTTGGGCTAAATCACGATCGTCGGAGCTAACATTAGACTGTTGCCGAGTATCCGTTCCACGAACAGGATGAGGGACACTTCGCTCCGACATGCTGGATGAGTGTGATGACATGGTCGACCGTTCATCAACTACGGGCAATCCGTTCGTACAACTCCGTCGCGAATTCTCTTTTTGACTAAACAAGGAGCGTATCTTAACCGATTTCGAGCTTCTTCGTCCTTTGTATCGGCCAGGATGATGTCGTTGGTTCGATCTCAAAGGTTGGTCCAGAACTGGTGGGCGGCCACGACCGGATCTTACTACTACAGCACTTCGACCGTTCAGGCTTAGAGCTCCGTTACTGGTAGCACGACGTCGACCTCTTCCCTGTCCACGAAGTTTAATAGGTTTCCTCGGTTTGTCGTACGGGTACGCTTGACCGTTTCCGCGAGAGCCGCGCCGGAACGTTCGATGAGGTTGGAGACGGCTGAAGTGAGAAGTGTGAAGAAGTTCAATTGTTACGTTCATGATTATATGTGTCGTGAAGGCAAAGCGTTCAGCTGTAGCACCCTTCGGGTGCCCAGCTGCCATGCCACCCGAAAGAAGCACGAGGGCTAGGATACTGCCAGGTTGCCCAAGCCTAGACAGGGGAAGTCGAGTGTCGGAGGTCGGAGGTCGGAGGTCGGATTCGAACCACGAACCTTCCGGTCAGTAAATTCGCGCTCTAACCACTTGGGCCATCTCGCCCCCCGTGAAGGCAAAACAATAAGTGAATTACTGGATTAAAAACCACTTTAATGTCGTGCTAGTCAGTCGTACCTACTATTTATCCACAAGAGCGTCAACATACTTACATGATCTTTAGGATCCGCAAGGGAAATAAAACTCATCATGAAGTCCAGGCTTGAAACACCCTAACCAAATAACGAAGGCAGATTGCACGGCCGTCATCTATCGTGTGGGAAAGCAGACCTGTCCATTTCTCTCGATTTTCTCGGTGACCACTCAAAGCATCTTCAATACGGTGTCAGGAAGTTTATAGCCACTTTTATTTTATGCGAACTAAAGACGTGCAATATCATGTTGCATGCAGAGGGGATGCAAAATGCCACTCAAATGATTCAGTCGATGTGGATCCTGGGGTGCCTATTTATTCAGCTAGAGAGAGGCACACAATTGTCCTCAGGGCCAACCGATGGAAATAGATGAAATCCGAACCCGAAATGGTTTTACCGTATCACTTAGCTGTTAGTCGTGTCGACCAACAGCCCCCAGGAAACGGGCTCCCAAGTGCACAGCTCCTGTTCTTTACGGTCGACTTACTGGGCTCCTGCATAATTATAGTAACCTTTGCCTTTCGTCACATACTGAGGCCACTGACTAATGAAAGAGCTTGACACAACTCAGGGATTAAAACTCGAAACTACTGAATACCAACCGGGAGGGCAGGTTGGGACACAACCCTGGATCTTCCATTGTCCTTGCCTTGGATTTAGAAACTTGCCAGTATCTCAGCCCTCATTGTACGCCAGCTATGCACTGAAAAAGTGCTACAGTTGAGCGTTCATTTATGAATAACAGCGGCTTCAAATTCATTCCACTCCTTACTGAGCTCTTTCAAACGCACATTCTGTGTTGTTAGTTTCATTTCGGTGATTGTTTGCAAAGCGACGGCAACGGTAGACAAAAAATTTATCCGCAAGCAAAAGCAAGCTGATTAACGTGCATTTATGAGCCTTAAGAATCTGGTGAAAATGCGGCAGATTAAACCACACGGACCACCTTCATCGAAATCACACAAGTGTCATGGGATATGCGTGAACAGGTGAACATCACTCGCCTGAAAACTCAAGTAAAGTTGAGAAATGACAGAGGAATGAGGCAAAAGCTGTTGAGAAGGTTGTGGATCACTGATGGTGTTTACTAAGTAGGGGTTCTAACCGACAATAAATCTTCGTACGTTACTGCTTGGAGGCGACACCACATTAACAAGTAAGTTGGGACTGTTTGCGATCTCAGAAGATAGGTTAAAGGAGACGATTCGGCTAGCACGCGATGACAGCATGTTACCTGGCAAAAGGAGTTTTAGATACCAACGAGACAATAAGGGACGTCTGTATCTACCAGACCCCGTGTTTCATTGCGTCCCTTCAGCTGCCAAGACGGAGAGAACGGATCTTCGCGAAAAGATTATAGGCCTATAGTAAGCCATGATATCGTGAAAATCCTCAAGTTGAATTAGGATGAGCATCCCAAGTGATGTTTGAAAAATAATAGTACTTATCAAATGCATAGACCTGCAGAAGACACATGAAGCGGCTATGGGATGTCAACGACTAAGTAGGAGATCATGTCGAGGCATAAACCACCATTTATCCAACGCACCTGGGCTAGACATATCCAAGATCCAAGAGAATCACGTATATGTACTGTTGTATTCCATTTACGACCAGTGCCGTGAAAAATCCTCTGACAAAGACGTAACAGATTAAGTCCGCGGACAAACAGCCCATTCATGGTTGTGTGTAAAGATTTCTCTTAAATGATGAAAGCGGTGGTCTCAGTCTGAGAGCTTTCTGGTGGTAGCCTTAGAAGACTTCCAAACGAGAAAAAAGGTAACATGGGGCCGTAAACCTAGCTAGCCGGTGCTTCTAACATGTGCCAACGCTTAAGCTCAGTAAGGGAGAGTAAGAGATGTCACCCACATTCATAAGTGCCTCCCCTAGCTCGCACGGCTGGTCGAGCTTTTAGGCATCACCAATCTTCCTGGGTATACTGCCTAGAAAGTGTAGATAACTCCTCATCCGAAATTTGTACTTGAAAACGTTTAATCAGGGAATTCAAGCCGACAGACTAGTAAAGTGCCGCTTCCGACGATGATGCCCATGTGGCTGTAGTGCCAAGTGTCTTGGGAGAGCCTCTAGTCAGGTCGAAACGATTTTTTCAGTTTCATTTATATGAAGAAACTGGATACACCAATGTGGAGTCATCCCAATTGAAGGACGATGATGGGCCATGTCATAGTTACACAAATATGGGATTACCTGGAAGCAGAATAAAGATCATGTGAAAATAATAATAATAATAACGATGATAATAATAATAATATCACCTCATTGATTGCTGGTCATCCGTTATCCATGACAGATCTCCATTACCATCACCCTGGTCACAATCATCAGCAAGAATATCAGAGTAATTGTCTAGCCCAGTAGTCACAAATCCACGTGGACGAGAAGTAAGCCCGGACCCACGAAAAGGGAATTTGCGTGTTGAAGATAATGAATGTGACAGTGTGAATGTGTCAGCACCTGGATAGTCGTTGTCAAAATGATTCGACTGACGAAACCAACGGGCCACGGGACATGCTTTGCGAGCACATGCGCACGGGACAAGATAGCGACAGGTGGTGTAATCGAAATCAAAATGCAATGTTAATTCTGTCGAACGCGTGATCGGACGGATAGCGAAAACTATGAGGCGAATTCTGGAAGTCGGGCCAGTGAGTGGATCATCATAAGTGGAAACAAAGTGCCGGACCTATGGAGAAGATAAAATAAAAGTGAAGAACAATAACAGGTGTGTGGAAACAGTGGGATTATTGAGTCAACGTACAGTTGTTAATTATGATATCTCAGCCATTTTTATCCACCATACCTGAAATCTGGGATGCTGGTTTATGAAAATTCCGTAGGACGGCTAAGGCGTTAAGGAGCACGGTCACGCTGAAGACGTTTGGATGGACCTTGTTTTCCAATCGCGCTAGTCTGTGTTCGAGCGCCCTGACACTCTGCTAGTTAGTACGCCATACAAGGAACTATGAGTCAGAACAGCCCCATAGCTGATAAACTGGTTTGCTTGATCGTAAACCAGGAGGAGTTGGTTCGTTACATTGATTTAGGTGAGAGTAACCAAACACCGAAATCCATTACAAATATCACACCGGATTTAAGCGACGCTTTGGCCAGTGAACTGTGTCCGGTATCAACCGACCGAGCATTTTCACAGAAGCGATTCAACACAAACACGACTATTATTAACCAACAAATAAAAATTAAAAGTCGTATGAGTGTAAATAGTGATCGATGAAATCCACTCATTTAGAACCTTCGGAGTAGCACGTTGTGCCAAAATATTGAAAACAACAATGTTTATCTTCAAAGTCAATCACACTGGTTAGTACAAAACGGTGTAGCAGCAGTAAAGAAGGAAATGACCGACAATGATGTGAATAATGACAGATGATAAACGGCAATATATTCAAAGCTCAGTGACAACAAACCTTTTATTGAGTGGAGACATTTCCTCCTCTAAGTTTAATTACAGGCCATACAGAAGTCTGAACGACGGATCACCTTACTTCTAGTGTGACTGACCGCCTGAAGGGTGGCAGCCAGACAGAACGACAGTTCTACATGTACCGATAGTTTACCTCGCAATTCGGAGTGCAAGATCGTCGTATATAGCGCGCTTCGTTCCCGAATTTTCTGGCATCCACACAAAGCGGCAGCTGCGTCCACGACTTGTAGAACAGGACGTACGGACTGTAACTACGTTGAACGAAGGCGTCAATCTTAAGCGAAAGGAACTTACTGTTTACGGTAGTCATACATTTCGTTGTATTCGGACAAGAGCATGCAAACTCCATGGTATTCAACCACCGGTTCGCCGGGATATATGTCAGCCAAAGCAATTAGTCCCTGTAGATGGAAGAAACAAGACACATAACGACATAAGACAGGATTATCTTAAATAATGACCTGCCCCTAGACAGTTTAAATCATGTCTATTCAAACCGAATTTGTCGGACCAGACTGGTCATAGAAACGAGGTGTACAGTGCGCACGCTTCTGAAACAGCTACAATTAGCAACCAGCAGATTTCATGTAAACGACATCTACATACCCGGAAGAACATGTGACCATCAGTAATCCAAAGACCGCACAAAGGAACCATTGAGGGCAAGAAGTTCAGACTGGTTTTCGGTCTATAACACTAGTTACCTTGAAAAACCTACCGTGACTCGTTGCAACACAGGTGAATGAGAAACGTCAACTCACTTTTCTATTGAAATCAAAACTCATCACTTGATAACGTTTGAAGGAAGGCAACCGGGGAGGCAGCTGATTCTTAGAAAATCCATTGGTCGTGGTACCACCTGACGGTGAATACGTTGGTGACAAAAGACTTTCCATTTTGTGGTAAAAGCGTTCAGACAATCGTAACTCAGTCGTCTCTTCATAAGCATCAATGGAGGGTGACGCCAATGTACCGGACGATATTATGGATGATGGAGGCGAGATTTGATTGGAGTCATCCTTGTGCTCTGGTGTATAGTTTGATGTTTCACTTGTATCATAAACTAGTAAACGATGAAGGGGATTGCTGGGCTTTGTGTCCACAGGACTATCCCACGTTCCTGTTACAGATACGCCAACAGTTTCCGATACAACTCGCGCACCGTTCGCATCGACTGAAAAAGGAGCCTCCACAGGGACAAGCTCAGTTAGCCCGTTAATGGCTGGTGAGTGTTTGGAGACACATTCCAGGCCATCCGCAAGTGAAGTCCCAGTGACTGTTGGATAGCAGAAATGGATAATACAAGCAGGGCTAACAAATAAACCACGAAGACAAATAACTGTACGGTAGACTCCGGAAGGAACGCTCCCTAAGGATGGCCACTACTCTGAAGTCAAAAATGACATGCCATTTAATATGCCTTCCGTCAGCGAGGAAACCCTTGGGACACCTTATTTCCCTATTGTAGTTTCCCTTGGGGGAAAAAGTTGACACATCAAAACAGTTTTTCCCCAATCATAAGGGTAAACTATATATATAGGGAAAATTCCCACAATTAAAGAAACAACACAAATCCTACAAATTCTGCAACTACATATGCCTACAAATATCGTGAGGGGATTATTTAAGTTCGTGACATCACCAGAAGTGTGGTCCCAGGAACCACCACCAGAAAAAAATGGCCCAGCAATTGCACCCTTTCGGAGCCTAGCTGCCGTGCCAACGGAAAGAGGCACGAGGGGTGGGATACTGCCAGGTTGACCAAGACTAGACAAGAGTAGTCGAGATGCTGAGGTTTGGTTCGAACTACGGACCATCCGGTCCGTAAGCCGGTGCCTTAACCGCTGAGCTACCTCGAGCTCACGGAACCACCACTAACCGGACACCGCAACACAATAGTAGCACCGGCCCTTCCCACATTCCCTTAACGAAACTGTTACAACGTGGTTGACCCCGGATGTCCACCAATTGCTGCTCACAAAGCAATAGCCATTCGGATGCGAAAAGTAAGAAATATCACCTCAAGTTTGCATAACGAAGGCGAAGAGAGGACTCAAGACCAATTATCTGAACACAACTTCATGTTAAACTGTATTCGATGCCATAGTAGGAGAATCAATGACTGAGGGCTTCTCTCTCGAGAAACAGCTGTTTTCTATTATAGCATCCACCGATTCAAGCAGTTGTTCACATCTGACAGCCAACACATCCCCACAAACTGCTTCAACAGGCGAGCAAAAGCGGATCCCGTAAGGGCCGGGTACATGAGTCCAACTTCGTGGTTTAAAAGTTGTCCGTAAGCAATACCCTTTTAATAACCCAACATCACGCCGATTGGACAGGCGTGTGAAGTGGGGGCTGCGGACTAAGTGAAGGTATACCTTGATTGGTCAGAATGTCGGCCAATCTGGATAGAGCATCTATAGCTTGACGGTTCTCACCACCTCACGAAGATTCTAGAAACATTCTGCGATGACCCTGTAAATACGGTTGTAAAAACCATCCTTTGTCTCCATAAAGGGCTATCTCTAGCAACCGTGCCTTCTGATATACCATAGAGGGCGAAGATGGAGCCAACAGGAGACACAGAAGTTGCATCAACGTCAACAAGACACAACAGCGGTCATGATAGCAATTCGTTCCAGAGGTATTTCAGTTTCCGCGCTACTTAACCGGTTGCACTGTGGTACGTAAGTATGAGGCGCCTGGAATGACGCACGCGTTGGTCCACATAACAAAAGTCAAAAAGTCAAAAGTCATAACCATGGAAACCATAACGTTAATGTCACTTATAGGTGAGTAAATGGAAAACAATATATAACTAAGACACCAAGCATGAACAGAGAATCCCGATAATATGGTATGAAAAAGTGAAGACGGATAGCATAAACGCACGAGTTAGCAGGTCCTGTTTCCTTTTGGAGCTTCGGGTTGTTTGAGCAGAAGTCACGGGTGATGTTGGTCCTGTGATGAGGTTGAAACAACGTGGATTTCCTGTCATCAGACCAGTGGCAGTGGTGGACAACGTCTGGTTTGGGTTTGGTCGGACAGGTGGAGCTATTGACGGGGTGCTGGACAGGCACAGTTGAACCTGCCGAGATGAAACCGGACCGGATAGTGCATTGGTGACTAGAACTCGGCCTGAACTATTTGCCGTGCTTAGACTGGTGGTACGCGACATCCAGATGCCAGAACCAGCACTGGTTGAGATACCTGGCAGTTTCTGTCTGTGTAACACAACGGCTTGAGGACCCGGAACTGGATGTGGACCACAGCTCTCACAAACATATGGGGTAGTCAACCGGGATCGTTTCGGTGAGGAAACGCATTCTACATGTTGCCAACTTCTACGGGAGAAACAGAGAAGATGAAATTGCTAAATAACAAGCTAACTGATATAGCAGAATAGGGAACAGAAGTGGGAAACTCACCTGCACTTGTCACACTGAATGACCGGACAGTCATTACGGGCATTCCCACATGAACAGCGAACAATCCCTCCAGAATCAGAAACTGAGGTAGCTGAGCGGGAGGCAGTTGTGCTAATCTGCAGCCCAGGAAGGCCGGTTCGCAGTATAATGTGTGGAGTGAGGGAAGAACTCACACGATGAACTTGCAGAGGTGGGATCGCAGCCGCACCTGAAGACGGGGAAATTACGAGCGAACGACCATTGGTAGAAGAATTTGCCGGGTTGGTCGCGATAAGCGAGCAGGGTGAAGTAGTAGTTTGTGTAGGGATGCGACTAGTATTCGGCGTTTTGGGTGTACCCATCACTTGTGGTCCCGTGCAGTAAAGCACATCTGAAGCAGGTCTACAGATGTTCTGTGGAACCAGTTCATCACTTGATAAAATCAGACCCAATCCAGACTGACCAGAAGTTTTGCGAGTCCCAAAAACTTGGTCCACTTGCTTTTCATCCTTTGCTAAAGCTAATTTAGCAAGAAGACAGAGGCGATCCTCATCGCCAGAAGTGCCTTTTGAAGAAGGTACGGCCGATACATACGTGTGGTCCTAAAATTTTGAAGAGCTGGATGAGAAGTCAGAACAACATACATTGTAGGGCAGCCCCAGGCAACTTAGTGAGTCGCCATACGTCACCGCATCGAATGGATAATCATCTGGATCACCTTCATCAGATAGCCTGCAAAGCTTAAGGTCACCTTCGGTAAGAAGCACATACCCCTGAGATGAGAAAGAACATAAAACGCGCTTTTGTTTCACTGGGTTGCTCACGGCAGTAACCTCGGCTCCTGTTTCCCCAACAATAACGTTTTGGCCGACCTCCGGAGGATGAACAGTGTAATCTATTTCGTCCTCGTCCGGCGGATCAGGAGTGTCCTCCAGGATAGGATCGGGATCAAGGAATGCATCTGCAAACGCAGTCAAATGTGTCCTATGGGCAACAGGGAGGTTCAAACCAGCTCTGTAGAAATTCGGGTAGACCAGTGTGTCTGTCACGCTTGTGTGCAAAGCGAAACCTGTAAAAGCGAAGAATGCCGTGGAAAATGCTAACAATTAGCTGAAGTTCGGTGTCTGTGTAAAACAGGGACACCTAGTTGTCAGACGCTTGGCAAAATTACAATCAAAAAGTTTCCAACCTGGAATATCAAATTCTTTAATTCCACTTCCAACTGTCTACTCTCGTTATCAGCCTCTATATCAGCACAGCCTACCACTTCTCTCCATACTCATCATTTGTCAACCAATCTAGTTGCCATCAGTCGCACAAATTAAGCAAATCAGTGCGTTTTACCGATACACAATTTCTCAGATTATACCTAACCCAACTCCATCAACAGATAACTCTTATAGAGATTACTAACCTCATAAAACTGACGCAGGGTAGATCTCCTGGCATTGACCGCACCTACGCACGGTCAACTGAACGAACACCATACCACAAGCATCAAAACTGACTCGAAGGTGAGCGTGGAGAACGAAGTTTATGAAGTTACAAAAACAAAATTATATACTTCAAGGAATTATGAAGGGCGATGAGGGAAAACCGGGCAAATGAAACCGAACTTGGAATTAGTTAATTTAGGGGAACGAGGTAGGAGAAAGCCGATGTTTTCGGAGACAAGGGAGTACATCCGATTACATCAAACTGAAAAGCATTTTGACGACCAGAGAAGTTTCACGAATGTACGAAGAGTGAATATTATGGCAATGACAATAAATAAAAAAATAATAAATCGTTCAGCTGTAGCGCCCTTTCGGTGCCTAGCTGCCATGCCGCCCGAAGGAAGCACGAGGGCTGGGATACTGCCAGGTTGCCCAAGCCTAGACAGGGGAAGTCGAGTGGCGGAGGTCGGGTTCGAACCACGGACCTTCTGGTCAGTAAATTCGCGCTCTAACCACTTGAGCCATCTCGTCCCCAATGACAATAACAATAATAATATTAACATTAATAATAATAATCGTTCAGCTGTGACACCCTTCCGGTGTCTGGCTGGGGGGAGCATGAGGGCAGAGGTACTACCAGCTGGCCCGAGCCTAGACAGCAGCAGTCGAGATACGGAGGTGTTAGGAGGCACTCCTCCTACGAACATATTGCTCACATTTCTCTCTATATATTTCAGCCTTTCATTGGACTGTTTGTTCCATTCCATTCTTGATTCTTCGAATCTCGATATTGGCTGTTCAGTTGCTGCAGTATAATTTCCTCCAGGCTTTTTGTCTTCTCAATTTCGTGTGTAACTGACAAGGTTGATTGACTGATTAGTAGAGAACATAACAGGAGGCTGGGTTCAAACCACGGACTTTCCGGTCAGTAAGTCGTATCTTAGCCACTGGCCTATCCAAATGAAGAGTGAATATCCAAAGGGCACCTCGATCATCCAACAAACAGTAAACTATTCTCTTTAACATTTTAGTTACGTTCCATCCGAGGTCACGTCTGTCAACTATAAATAGGGACAAAAGGAAACATCTCCGAGTTAAAGCTTTCATTCCGATCCATCGGACACCTTGACTGAAAGACAGAAATGGAATACAAGCCGTTTATCCGTAGTTTTTCACCAGATAAACGTTATCTCATCAGCACTTAGAACACTGTCAATTCATTCCATCTATTAAGCCCTCAAGCTTGCCATAAAGAATTTACAGTATTCTCTCATTGATGCAGTCGGTTACAGCCACAACTGCTAGCCAGGCAGCTTCTCAAGCAGCTGCAAAACGGGATTTTCAAATATTCATTGGATTGTACCGCTTCGGTGCGAAAATAGTCGCTTTTTCCAATCAACCGCGTACACTAAGGTTTTTGCATTGTATCGACATGAAAGTTTCATGATCATGGACACAAGCGGGTTTGGGTCGGAAGGGTTCCTATGTTTAATCTTGTAATCCTCTCCGATTCCACGGGAGGCGAAAGTACCCTACACAATAAATGGCTTTCAGCCAAGTGGCCCCCGAATTCCTTATATGTGGTACAGTCAGCTGCAGCCATCGGCGACAGTCTGTGTTATTTACACACTTCGACAGCCCATGACTATCACAAACTAGAGACTTAACTGGGTTCAGGTGAGTTCCCCGTCAAAACTGAGTTAACGTACAAGCGGGAGTGCTTGGCGAATTCCATTCAATTCGGGTTCAAGCAGAACACAAGGTTGGCAAAAACTCGAGGAGTGTACCAACCTGCGGACGGAGTCATCCTGAGCTGTCACAGAGTTTCGAGCAACATTATGAGTAGTTTGGTACACCTAGACAATATACTTCGATACGTTGAGTAGTATACCAGCTGAAACATGATGCAGCCTCGTGCACGACACTCAGTTGGAGGTCACCGTAAACGAGAGATTCAGCTCGATTACTTGTCTCCCCTTAAAGCCAGATGAGAGTACCTGGTGATCCTAGGTTACCGGGCAGGGTCGCACCACCACCCAACCTGCAGCACCTCGTGTGGTTTGTCACTTCAAATCAGACACGGAAATTGGCGGACGAAAAATGCCTAATATCTCTCTGTTCCACTCCAGATATTTAGCACTAGAGCTGGTCGTTTGGGTTGCAGGGGAATATTTTCCCATCTTCAAAGCACTGTACTCCCAAAGTCGGCGAAAATTACCTATGGTCAGCCTTCGCCCCCATACAACTCGATCAATACTGACGTAAAATTACAGCCCACAAGGTTGTTGGAAAATGCATTGTTTCGAAGCGAATGACGCAGTGATCCGCCTTGCTGGACTGTGGGAAACTGAGTTCGACCAAGGATGTAAAATAAGGTACAGGCATATCATTCTCGATACTCCGTCTCTTAATAGATGCATTTAGAGTCGTAATGAGTTTGAATTTTCAAAGGTGTTGGAGGACACACCGACAATAACAGTCACCCGATGAGCCGTCGGGTTGTGCAAGTGTTGGGGCTAATTTTCTAATTCGTCCTTTCTCAAAGGAAGGTAGTACTCTTACCTCGGAAGTCACCTACAAAACCGTCTTCATGTGGCCGCGGAAGTGGTGTTACTTGCTGCATACAGCAAGACCGGTAAGCAGAAACAGGCTACTGGTGATGCCTCCTTTTTTCCCTTTCACAAACTTTTCATTCCCTTTTTCCCCACCCCATCAATACCTCGCTCCTTGTGGGCTCAGCAGTTAGGAGTGATGACTCTATTCGTCCTGCATCAGTTTTGCAAGCAACATCTGCGCGTCATCCGGCACGGACATCCTCAGGCACCTTGAAGCCAATCTTCAAGCCTCGACGCCCAATCTATATGGCTTATTTCAATGTCCGCACTCTGAAGCAAGCAGTACAACATGCTCGCTTGATACTGTGTGCTGTGTAGGACAAACAAGAATTCAAGACGCAAGCATGAAGGTTGGGCTAATCACCCCATCATTCTCCACTCGCTTCTAGCCGCTCACCTCTGGCGATCCACAGATTGCTGCAGCGGGATGCGCAGGGGTTGGTACCATCATAAGTCACTGGGGGGAAGGATCCTTGGTTGACTGGGTATCCATTGATAGTAGTTTGTGTGCGATTCGTCTATCTGTGAAGGGATCTCACAGGCTGGAAATTGATCGCTGGCTGTTTGTTGTGCATGTTTACGCCCCCACCCGACTGTAGCTCTGGCACCATCAAAGACACCTTCTATTTCGCTCCGAATGATGAGCCTTGGTGAGTTCAGATATCGTTGAGGTTGTCTGAGATCTGAATGCACAGGAGGGCAAACTTGTCGCATCTGAGATTGGACCAGGTGGTCGACGTGGATTCGACTCTGTATGTACGGACAGGTGCGATAGACGGCTTCAGCTGTGTTGAACCCATAGCGTTTCTATGGTGTCTAAGTTCTGCAGTAACCGAAGTCGTCTGACCACATGGTGTACCAGCCATGGATCCAGATTAACCACAGTTACCGGTGGCGCCGATCAATAACTGACTCCCACTCATACACTTATGTGGATTCCGACCATTCGCTCGTCCGAAGTCGCTTCTCGGTTCGCTTACCAGGGCCGCGCACAGTGGACTAATGGCTGACGAAGGGGAGACCGACAGGCACCAAAGTTAGGCAGATTTATCAGATTGGGCTCTCTTTCAACCGTCAGATGTCAGCTCATGCTGAAAAGAGATCCTCACCTATTTGCACGATATCAGGAGTCTCGTCTTTGGCAAGGCGCTACCAGGTCCATTCGAGCAATGGATATCAGACAGAACAGTGACACTGCTTAAGTCTCGAAGGAATATTCCAGCCGGTCCCGAACACAACTCAGTCCAACAACTAGGCGAGATGGCCCAAGTAGGTAGAGCGCGAATTTACCGACCGGAAGGTCCGTGGTTCGAACCCGACCTCCGCCTCTCAACTTCCCCTCTCTAGGCTTGGGCAACCTGGCAGTATCTCAGCCCTCGTGCTTCCTTCTGGTGGCATGGCAGTTAGGCACCAAAAGGGTGCTGCAGCTGAACGATCGTTCGCCTCAGTAGCTCATCAACGACTAAATTGAGCAACGGAGAGAATGGACATCCTTGTCCGGTACTACTTTTTGTATGTAAGCCTTCAGAGTTCGTCATACACACTCACACGCCCAGAAATATTTGAATAGACGGACCTGACTCTGTTCACAAACCTCTGAGTACTACCCTGTTGAGCAAGTGTGATTAACATCATAGATGCTCAAAAGAGTCGAACACAGGTGAACAAACACCAAGATCGTGGGTCGTCTGGTTAAAGGGGTGTGAGGATGTGTTCAATGCAACCTCTACCTGGTCGAAATTCCGATTGCTGCTCACGGATCAAGGATTCGTGTGCCATGATAAGGGGACGAAGATTCAGTGACACCAGAAGCTTTGTCAAAATTGAAGTCAAACTGACACCTCTGTGGTTACTACATTCACTGGGAGTATCCTTTTTAAAATGGACACTATTATCGACTCATTCCAACTGTCTGAGACGGCCTCCTTCACCCAGATAGACACAAACAGGCTAAACAGGCATTGACTGAAGAAATCACTGCTACCCTCGAGCAGAAATGGAACGTCATTAGAACCATTAGAACGCTTGAGTTAAGACAAACACTTGAA